CTGCGGGCCTCCCCACTGTGGTTGTGGCCACGGGCCCCACAGTCTCCCTGAACCGTGAGCCGCTGGCAGGGCTGTGGATGCTTCCTGGCTCCACCGAGGTGCACGCTGGGAGAATCCAGACGGGAGCCCGGAGGAAGTGGGGAGCCCTGCAGGGTCCGGGGGGTTGTGGCCGCCCCTTCCCAGAGCACAGAGATCCCTCCAGGGGCCACCTGGATGCTGGAGCGGCCTCTCCCTGCAGAGGTCGGGGTGGGAGGACGGGCGGTTCATGGACCCCCCGGGCCTGCCGCCCCCTCGGGCCCGGCCTCCCTTCCCCCCCCACACGCAAGCTGTCCCTTGGTAGGAAAGCCCGCCTTAGGGGCTGTTGCGTCACTGCCCCCGCCACCACCCCACCCGATTTCACCCGCAGGGCCTCCGAATGGGACCTTCTCCAGAGGTCTTTGCTCCAACATCACAGACGACCAAGTGCGGATGCGGCCGTCAGGGTGGCTCCTGACCAAGGGGGAGGTGTCCGCACGGAACGGGGAAACGTGGGTGCAGACAGACAGGCCGGGTGAGGCCCTCTGAGGGTCGGAGGTCTTCCTGCCCAACGGAGGGACCCCCAGAAGCCGGGAGGGGGCCCGGCCCCCACTCCCCCGCCCCAACACCTCTGTTAGGGGAAGCACACCGACTGAAACCGCCCACCCTGGCCAGGCACCATAGTGACCATTTGCCTGAGCTGTTTTATGACAAGAGGTCCTGGAAAGGAACACGGAACTAATAAGCCACTCCCCACCGGAAGAGTGCGGGAAAGGTCAAAGGAGACATCACGTGGCCGACACCTCCCAGAATCCTCCTCTCTGGCCTCCATCTTGGCTGAACAGGGCCGCACCACCAGGAAGGACTCTGAGTCAGAAGGATGGGCTAAGACACCCCGGAAACTAACCCCATCACCATCAAACCCGAGACAGCAAGCCACGTGGCAGGGCAGTTCTCCTGGGTTCCCTGGCTCTCGCGCTCTCCGCCCGGGCGCCCCTTCCCAATAAAACCTCTGGCTTTGTCAGACATGTGTCTCCTCGGGCAATTCATTTCCGAGGGTTAGGCAAGAGCCCAGTTTCAGACCCTAGAAGGGGTCCCCCTTCCTGCAACACCTGCATCCCAGACTTTGACCTCTAGAGTCCCGAGAGCGTATATTTTTGCCACTAAAGCTGCCTGGTTTGGGGCACTTTGTTAGGGCAGCCCTGGACAGCTAGCACCCTTGCCAGGCTCATCTTGACGAATGATGGACCCCGAGCGCAGGAAGACCAGTCAAGCTTCTGGTCCCGCCGCCAGGGCACAGGGGAGGCAAGCTGACCCCAGCCCAGAAAGGCCGCCCACAGAGCCCGCCCACTCCCCTGCACCCGCCTGCCTCTGTTCCAGCCTGGCTGTGGATGAAGCAGGGCCACTCTAGGGGAGGGTAAACGGGGCAGAGAGGGGCAGAGAGAGGCTGTTTACTTCTCCAAGCGGAGGAGCTCAGCCCTGAAACTCCTCTGTAACTGACGCTTCATGCCAGCTCAGAAGCTGCCTCCCGGTCCCCAAGCCTGGTGCTTGAATCATTGAAGATGGACCTTCTGGGTTTGCGCCAAAGCGCTCAGGGCCGTGTGTTGTGATGTTGATGAGGCCTGAAGAGTTTTGTAGGAGCGCCAGCCGTGGGGACCCAGGGGCTGTGACCCACCCACCACTTACGGCCTTTGACTGTCAGGAGGCTCCCTAGGAGCTCAATAGAACTGTCCATGCAAACCGCAGCGGATTCCCCTTGTGGGTTGGGAGTCCCTGGGCAAGAGGCCAAGTGGGGGTCCCGCCTCCTGGAGCAACGCCCCCACCAGCTCTTCCTGTGGGATGTGAGAAGCCCACGGAGAGCAGGACCGGGCCGGGGTGGGGGGTGCTGGGGCTGGGGTGCAGCCCCACTCCCGGACCCCAAGCATGTTCGTGTCTCTGCCTCTCCCAGCATGAAGCGCCAGCCTCGTGCCCCAAGGGTCTGCTTGAGCTCCAGGGGCCAGAGAGGAGGAAGGAGAAGGCAGACGGGGCCTCTTGAGGGTGTTGTGGGTGCTGGCGGCCCCGTGGCAGCTTCCAGCGGCCAGAGACTTGACCAGTGAGTCTGGCCCGCGGCACTGGCTCCCAGGGGCTGTTCCTGTGGTCACAGCTCGTCTTCCAGCATGCTGGATATTGGGGCCAAAGCCAACGCCTTGGGGACCTGCTTAGGTTGTTTGGGGCCGCATCCTTCAATGCACTGCTTACCAAACACGTGTGTGTCTGCGTGTCCACACTGTGTATCATCCTGGGGCTGGGGGGTCTACGTTACGGACAGCCGTGATGGAGGCTGATGTGTGACCCGCTCAGGGCGCTCTGCTTCCAAACATCATCCCCAAGCCCTCAGGGGCTTCAGACCCTGGCCCAGGACACAGATACAGCGTCTACCGCCTCCTAGGCTGAGCCACTGAGATCCCAGGAAAGAGGACTGAACAGAAGGGGACCGGAGGCATCCACGGATTGGTCATTTGCTCAGAACCAAGACCACGACACCCACTTCCAGAAAACCTGGCCCTGGGCTGGGCTTGCCCCCGCCCCACCACACACACCCAGAGAATTGTGCTAGACCCTGGAGGGGGGCCTGGGCGTCACTCCTCAAGAAAGAAACCACGAATGCGCTGCCTTAGGGCTGCGGCTGCCTTGCTGCGTGACTTTGGGCAGCTCCCTTGCCGTCTCTGGTCTTCTGATCCCCTATCTATGTAGTGAGTGACGGGATTCAGGGTGGTTGGCTTCTTTGAGCCTGCGGTTTGCAGAAGGGGGCCCAGGCGTCTCAGGGCCAGCGCCCGGTGGCCCCACCCATCCTGACCCTCTGAGAAGCTCCCCCTGGGAGGCTGTGTCCCCAGGGCTGGCTCCTCCTCCAGCCCCAGGGCCCCTGCTTCTGCTCAGCAGCTCTCCTGAACCCTTTCAGGGATGCCAGGTGAAGAGGAGAACCTCGGGCTTTGGACAGAACGTGTCCATGTTCACCTGTTGAAGTGCTAATGCTAACATGATGGTTCTTGGAGACGCACCTTTGGGACGTGACTGGGTACAGATGAGGCCCCATGATGGGACTGGTGGTGGTGGTTTAGTCGCTAAGTCGTGTCTGACTCTTGCAAGCCCAGGGACTGTAGCCCTCCAGGCTCCTCTGTCCATGGGGATTCTTCAGGCAAGAACACTGGAGTGGGTTGCCATGCCCTCCTCCAGGGATGATGGAATTAGGGGCTTTATAAGATGAGGAAAGGCCCAAGCTCTCCCTGTCTCTCTTGGGTGCAGACATGGCCAGAGGATTCATCTGTGAATGAACCAGGAAGAGGGTCCTCCCCGGGAACCCAACAGCACCCTGACTGTCAGCTTCCAGCCTCCAGGGCTCTGAGGACTTGACTCCCGTTGTCCAAGTCGCCAGCGGACTGATGCCCACCCACATCAGAGCCAGCGGAGGCGGCGTCCTCGGGGCTCCTGGAGCTGGGGTCAGCTGCACTCACGTGTGCTCGGCGGACGCCGGAGGCGGGGGGGCGCAGGACAGCTCCGTCGTGGGGGGGCTTAGGGGTGCCGTGGCGGGGGCTGGGGAAGGGCTGCGGGTGGGGCTCCCATGTCACCGCCGAGGGGAATGTGTCACGCTTGCCCCAGCCGGTCCTAAGCTGGGAGTCGGGGCAGAATTCGGCCTGTATACACGGTCTGGACGTTCTTAGCATCCACACTGGGCGCTAACAGGCTTCCTGCTCTCTCCTCCGTGACTGGCCCAAGAGCGCACAGCCATGTGCTGCCGGAGGAGAGCCAAGGGCCTCCGAGATGCCCCTCCAGACTCTCCTGGGACCCTGAGGTTCCTACCGGCTTTGGGAGGGGACCGATTCTCCGTGACATCATTTTTCTGAGACTGCCGGGTCAGGCAAGAGAGGAAGGGGCTTGCTTCCAGGCCAGGGGTACACAGGCCCCCTGCCCACCTTCAGGGCACCTCTGTGAGTGCGGCAGCCTCACCCCAGGAGACGCCATGGAGGAGACACGCCCCGGGGTCAGTCCTCCCTGCGCTGGGCTCTGGAGCGCCACAGCTGTGTGGTCTCATCCCAACATTTTAAAGCTAATTTAAACCTGAAATAAGCAGCCACACTCAGGTGCATCACACATGCCACCTGAAGCACACAGGGCAGGTGCTGGGCCCAGGCCCCCCCGAGGCCTTCTCCTCCATCCTCGGTGGGGGCACAAGGGCATCCTAGTGGAACCGGGGTGGTCCCACCCAGCGGTCAAGGCCAGTGTCTGCTTTCAGGGCCCGTATTCCCACCCTACACCCCGTGTTTCCAAAAGTGGGGAACATGCGATCTTGTGCAAAAGCATCAAGTCCCACCCGACAGGGAGGCAGTGTCCTTCCTGGGAAGGGGGCAGAGGTTGGGGCGGCAAGCGTGACCGTGGGCTCCAGGGTGAGCACGCCCGGCTGGGGTGTGCCCAGCTGCGTCTCGCCTCTTCATCAGCAGGGGTGCTGGCATCCAGTGGGGGTGACCAAATGGGCGGCCGGTTACCCACGCAGCGCCTGCTCGACGGTTTGGACGGTTTATTTAATCAAGCTCAGTGCTTCCGGGCTGTGCTACATCAGACTTACTGACTTAAAAATAACAACAAAGCGAATGAATTTCTAGCAGATGCAGGTTTTCTGACGCCTTCTAGAGAGCGATGCAGTGGCCTCAACGGAGAGCCAGTTTTACTCCTAGCGCTGGGGAGTACCTCTACATCTTCCCCTTGAAACTTCAGACGTGAAACTCACATTCACTTCCCTGGGTGATATGGGACTTTGATGGACTTAACCAGTCCCACCCGTTCTACCATCAGTGCTACTGCTACTGTGGATGCAGGTTTTAGGAGCCGCACACAGATCCTCGAGGACACATCAGACCTGGTCAGGGCCCAGTGAGGTCCGCGAAGACTCCTTAAAGGTCAGCACACTTTCTGAGGTGAAGCGGGGTGGAGGCTAAGCAAGAAAAGAGCTCTCGAGTGGTAAAATAATGTTTTATTCCATGGATGAACAAACACTACCATGCCACACCTCACTCCCTCCTTCCAGACCTCATGGCCAGAGCCGGCCTCCCCTTTCAGACTGAGCTGGCTGACAAGACAAAAAGCATGGCCAGGTAGCACTCGGAGCAGTCCTGCGGGCGGCACCTTCTTCCCTTTCCCAAACGCTGATGCATCACCTGAAAAAAGAAATCCCGTGACGGAGATCTTCCTATCGAACCAAGTGCAACTGACATTCAAAGCTTGTGGAGATGAAACGCAAACCCCCCAAACACCAGATAGCGACACGGACCTGTCTTCTCTGCAGACGATGATGTCAGGGACACCCCGCTCCCCAGCGGGAGCGGGACCCGGAGACATCGGAATGGACGTTCAGGCTGTCAACAAGCTCCTGAGGCGATGACGGTCTTCGGTGCATTTCCAACTAGCACTCGTAGAGACAGCAGCTTGGCCAGGCTGTGGGCATGCAGGCGAAACACGATGAGGACTTGGCGGAGGGCGGGGGGCAGCGGCGATGGCTGACCGCAGTCCTGTCTCTATATACAACGGAGTGAAATACACACGGAAGCCGCCGTGCCTCTGAGCAGAGGACGCCTCATGAGGCCGGGCTGGAATGTCGCCGAGGCTGCTTGCGTGCAGGGATTGGGGGGGACATGGCCACCCCCCGGGGTGGGGGGAGCAATGCTGGCGCAGGCCCCCACTTTCCTCCAGGGTTCTTGTCACCCGAGCACACGTGATGGGCCTGGAGGTGCAGTCAACGCTTGGTCTTTTCATGTTTTTTAACCAAATGTCATCTGAAAAGACAAACTATCCAGGAGGAAAAGGACGGGCTTCACGACACATGGAAATGGACGGTCTGAATCTGAGCCAGATCCTAACGCACTTGGTGGGAGACGGGTTTTATTTAGACCTTTTAGTGAACAGTGCTGGATGTCGTTTGCAGTATTTTGAAAGGTCCCCACAAAGTCTAGACACGACCTTGCAGGGAGAGCCGTTACTTCTGATCTGTTTTTTTTTAATCCAAACAAGTGCAAAGCCTACAGACTGACTGAACGAAACCAAGCAAAACAAAGCAAAGCAAAAAAAAAAAAAAAAAAAGCGCACAGCAAAACAAACCCGGGACCAGAGACAGTGTCAGGTAAAAACCATAGAAAAATACAAATTAATTCCAGAAGGTTAACCATTAGCATTAGCTACAGTGACACCACTTTGTACAGCCCCTTAAAATGCAGAATCTCCTAATAACAGACAGGAGCGGGCCAATCTAGGGACAGGTACTGTGAAAATAATTGTGCTCTGGTTGGTCCATGGCGTGGTGACGTCACACGGGGGTGATGCTCCCAAGTGGGCGCGGGACTCGGGGGGAGGCCGGGTCCCACGCTGCCGCTCGCCAGCTCCAGTTCCAGGGCCAGCTTCTGCACTGCCGTCCAGGCTCCGCTTTGTTCCTTGGGGAGGGTCGTGGGGAGGCCCCGGTGACGCTGTGGCAGGGAGGAGGCGGTGGTTCAGGGCTCCGAGGAAGCCCCTCGTGAGCGGCGACGCACCTCCGCCCGGCAAGGAGCTTGTTTCTGGAGCAGAAATGCCTTCGGACCTGAGACACACATGCGATGAAGGTGGCCCCCCGGCTCTGCGGGCAGGCCGCGGGCTGCCCGGGGCAGCGTGCCCTGTCCCAGGAGGGGCCGGGCGTGCGCCGTGGGGCTCAGTCCTCCTCTTCCTCCTCTCTTGCTGTGACTGCGGGGAACTTGTCCTGGATCCTGAAGCATTCCACGAAGAAGCCGAGGATGGAGCGGTACAGGTGCTGCTGGAGGGCGCTGCTGCTGAAGTAGTGGCTCTCGTCCGGGTAGATCTGCAAGGCGGGCAGAGGACTCAGCCGCGCGGCCGCTGCCCCGCCCCCACCGCCCTCGTGGCCAGACTCAGCTCCGACGGCAGAGGGCGTCCTCAGAGCATCAGGGAAGAAATCGGACAACACTCTCTGTTTAGTAGACTGTGCGCATCTGGCTCTGCTTGTTTGAATTCGCAACAGAGATCCAGGCTCGGGGACCACAGAGGCAGCGGCCAGGCCTGCAGGGGTCAGCACTCCCAGAGAACTGGGAGGAACCGTGTCTCTGCGACCCCAGTGAGTGCAGGAAGCTCCCGGCTTGCTGTGTGCCGAGCGCAGGGCCTTTCCCGGACCTCAGCGTCCAGAGGTGTCCAATGGAGATGATCATCATCGTCAAATCTAACTCATTAAGCTTGGTGAGGATGAAATGACATGAAGTTCCCCTGAAAGGCTCAGAACAAGGCCTGGGACACAAAACGCTTGTGCTCAGGCGTGTCCAACGCTTTGTGACCCCATGGACCATAGCCCACCAGGCTGCTCCGCCCATGGGATTCCCCAGACAAGAGTACTGGAGTGGGTTGCCATTTCCTTCTCCAGAGGATATTCCCGACCTGGGGATGGACCCCAGGTCTCCAGCATGGCAGGCAGATTCTTTACCACTGCGCCAGCAGGGAAGCCCTGGGCCACCGGGGTCGGGGGGTGGGGGGCGGCTGAAAAGATGGCAGCTGATCTTCCTGTCCCCACTCGTGATGACACCGGGCACCCCGGGCACCACTCCACTTCCACACAAAGGGCCCGGTCCCAGCAGAGAGTCAAAGCCAGGCCTCACCAGCCCCGAAGCCTGCGATCTTACCAGGATACTGGGCTGCCTCCTGCACGTGAACCCTGTCCCCCTCTTGCGTCTTTGGAGGATGACACCCACCTTGGTCTCAGGATTTAGGAAGGTGGTCCTTGAGCTAGTGCCTGTGCCTTAAACCTCAACCAGCTCCGAGGGGCACAGAGCAGGAGGCAGGCCTCCCCCTTGCCGGGTGCCGGGCCCCGGGGCCCTCAGCTGGCCTTGTCACCATTACAGGCTTGAGCGTCTCAGCCGCTCTGTGCCTGCAGTGGTATCCAGGAGGCCTGGGCTGGGCCTCAGCTGTATCTGGGGCGTGGTCCACTCTGGCACTCAGAGCTCTGCCGCTGGACCCATTGGGGCTGCGACGCGTCATACGATGCACTTGGCCTTGTCCTGTGACCTGAGCTCTTTCAACGGGGCCCAGATGACACGTGAACTAGGCAGGACTTTGTCCTCTGGGGACGCCCCCCGGGGGCGCGGGGCGGGGGTGAGGGGTGTTCTAAAGGGGCTTGAGCGCAGCCCCAGCAGGGCCGAGCTGCCGTTTGTTGCTGTTGTTCAGGAGCTTGGTCGCGTCCGGCTCTGCAACCCCATGAACTGCAGCACGCGGGGTTTCCCTGACTTTCATTATCTTCAGAGTTTGCTCAGACTAACACCCACTGAGTCAGCGATGCCATCCAACCGTCTCCTCCCCTGTCGCCCCCTTAAGCCCTGCTCATCCCACCCGACGTGTGCCCGACCGCCTCCCGGGACCGGGCCCAGCAGCGTGTCCCTGCGGGGTGGGAGGGCCGGGCGCGGTGGCTCTCCTCCGTCAGGGGGCGGGGGGTGTCTCAGGCCAGCCCCGTACCTGTAAGCTGTAATTAGCCTTTCCCTTGATGAGCTGTGTGATAAGTTCTGCCGTGTGCTGGAAATGGATTTTTTCTGTTGAAAGAGAGAAGGACAGGGTCCGTCAGAGCCCGTGGCAGTGCGGAGGGCAACGCTCCCCGCGGCCCCCAGGGTCAGGCGCTCACCGTCGGCGGTCGCGTGGATGACCAGGAACTGCTGCCCTTCCAGCGCGGACACGCGATGCGCCACCTTGGCCATCTGCACGCGGGGAGGGGCGTCAGCGCGGGCCTGGCCGGGCAGTGCAGCGGCGCTCTCTGCCTGCCCTGGCGGCCTCAGCCCGTTCAGGAAGGGGACGGCCGGGAGATGAGGGGTGGGGGGGGCAGGAAGACAGGGTCCCCTCCCCTTGCAGGAAGCCTGGGGCTGCCATCCCACCGGGAGTGACACGCTGGTCGGACCGATGTCCGTCTGCGGCTTTCAGCCCTGAAGCCTCAGCGGCCTTCGGGGCCCCAGAGGAGCTCCCTGCCTGCCCCCTCCCATCCAGGGCTCTCCCCCTCCTGCAGCAGAAGCAGCCTTGGGGGGCAGAGCCCATGCATACACCAGCCTATGGACCCCAGGACAGGCTCCCCACCCAGGCCTTCCCCGCCTCCTCCTCTGCCCTCTGGCTCCAGACGGACAACCAGACGCACCTGGAAGAGGACTGGGTCACCCACATTCTCAGGGGTGGGGCCCGGGGCTTTCTCAGAGGGAGCTGTGCTGGGACATGGGCCGGCAGGGGCTGAGAGGGGGCCGGGCGGGAGAAGAGGCTGCTGTCTCAAGCGGCGGCCGCGCCCAGACCTACCTCGTACGCTCGGTTGTCAAGTCCGTGGAGGCCCAGGTACCTCTCGGAAAACGCGGATGCTGCATGGAGGCAGAGGGGCGCATTAGCCCTTGGCCTCAGCCTCGGCCCCGGCCCCTCGGACTGTGAAATAGCTCGAGTAAAGCCCCCAGAAAGCCTCGCTGAATTTTAAAAACACAGAGTATGTCTCATGTATTCCACGGAGCGATCATTCTAGGTTATTAAAATCCGGAATTAGGCGAGTTCCCGTACGGTTTTCACCTGAAATGTGCATTAATCTCTCCCCAAAGATGAAAGCATCCACCGTGAGCCTCCGGGCTCCCCAGCCCCTGCTGCTGTGTCCCTGGGCTGTCTGGGGGTGCTGAACTGGGGTGGGGGAGGGTGCAGCCGTGGCAGTGACGCTGGTCCCTCCGCCCCAAAGGGGCCTCAGGATCCAGCAGAGCTCTGCAGACCAGCGACCAGACGCCCTGGGCCCCTCTGGCCTGGCTCAGTGCCGGGCAGCTGGGGCTGGCGGCCGAGCCTCCCTGCGTCCCTGACCTGAGTGCCGGCTCTCAGAGCCCGCAGAGAAGGCCTGTCCCACACTTCAAGCCAGAGGTGATGTTATAGAACCATTCGTGTTCGGGGAAAAGAGGCTGGCTGACCAAAGGGCAGGGACACTGGGGGGCTCGGGCCCGGAGAATGACCGGAGAGCCAGGTCCAGGCGGGCAGGGGCCGGCCCCCACACCTGGGGTTGGACAGTGCAGGCCGAGAGACAAGAGGTACGGGGTCCCCGCCAACTGACCCTGGGGCACAAGCAGAAGGCTGGTGCTGGGGGTGGATTGCAGGGAGCCCCCTTCCATCCCCCTTCCGCTGCAGGTGGAACCGCTGGTCGGGTTTCAGCTCCTGGTCTCATGTCAGGGAGGATGGTTCAGGGACAGGGGTGGGTCGACTGCTTTCAGAATAAGTGGCTGAGAAACCCTCCCGCCCCTCACGCTCAACCCAGGCTCTGTCTGCCAGGCGTCACTGCTGCCCACACCTCCCCGAGGGGTATCAGACCGAGCACCAGGTGAGGGGGCCCTGGGGTGGGGCGTGGGGAGGCCGTGTGCCCGTTCATCAGGACCCTCATGGCTGTACCAGGTCTTAGCTGTGACCTGTGGGATCTAGTGCCCTGACAAAGGATCAAACCTGGGCCCCCTGCATTGGGAGTGCGCAGGCTTAGCCCCTGGACTGCCAGGGAAATCCCCGCTTCCTGCGATTCTGAGGGAGGACCCACGGGGAGTCAACGCCAAAGGGCTCGGGCACGGGCCGCCACGATGCTCTGCTCAGGAGCCTGCACGGGACGGATGTCCACACGTGGCCTGTACGTGGCCAGTTCTTCGTTTCCTCTGTGGCCCTCGCTCTGGGGTTGAGGCTCACCACAGCGTGAGCCTCCTGGGGAGAGTAAGCGTGACACTGGACCTGCCGTGGGTGCTGGTTGGCCCAGACGTCTTCCTGCTTCTTGGAAGGCCCAGAGGGAAGGGGGCACAGACGGAATGCTTTGATGAGCAAAGGTGGGCAGGTGTTAAAGGTGTGGATGTGTGTGCACAGGGATGTGTGCTGGGGCGGGAGGGTGGCATGATATCTATGCCAAACTCACTGTAGAATTAACGGGTTTTGATCAGTAAGTTTAAGTGTGTTATAACAGTGCTCCTTTAGTAAAACAGGACTATCTTTCTGTTAATGACATAAGAGTCTTTTTGGGTTCTTGCAAACAATATTCATGGTCAATGAAATCGCCAAGGCTCACAGGTCATTTTGCAGGTTTTTAAACGTTGGCTGACCACAGCAGATGCTGCTGAGCATGCGCAGCCCAGGAGCTCCGCTGGGAACCCATGTGCTGCTGGCGGGAATGCCAAGTGACAAACTCCGTGGAAGACAGCTCCGTGGTTTCCTTCCAAACTGAGCGTTCCCTTATCATTCCACCGTACACTCCTTGGTATTTAAGAAGCTGAACACTTAGACCTCCACAGAAACCTGCGCACGGATGATTGCAGCCGTTTTATCTGTCACCGCCACAGCGGCTCGGGAGCCACCAGGAGGCCCTTCAGGAGGTGAGTGGGTAAAGCATGTGCATTCAGACAGTGACTGCTTGGTGCTAGAAAGAAATGAGCTATGAAGCTACAAAGAGACATGAAGGAACCTTGACTGCGTATCGCCGAGTGAGAGAAGCCAGTCTGACAAGGGCCCATGCTGTACGGTCCCAGCGCCGTGATGGCCGGAGGCAGCGCGCTGCTGTCCAGTCGCTCAGGCATGTTTGCCTGCAACCCCATGGGCTGCAGCACGCCAGGCCTCCCTGCCCTTCACTGTCTCCCAGAGCCTGCTCAAACTCATGNCTACAGTCCATGGGGCCACAAAGAGTCGGACGTGACTGACTGAGCGCAGTACACAATATCACAGCTTCTCTCCCAAGAAGCAGGCGTCGGGGAAGGGGAGGGGCGTGAGCAGGTGGGGCACAGGGACCCTGAGGGCAGTGAGGCTGCCCTGGGCGGCCCCATGGGCATGGACACGTGTCATCGTGCGTGTGTCTGAACCTGCAGAAGGTGCAGCCCTGGGAGGGAGCCCTGACGTGAACCATGGGTTCTGGGTGATCGCGGTCGCCCGTGCAGGTTCACCGAGTGTAAAAAGAAAGATACCAAGCGTTGGTGACGGTGAAGGCGGAGGAGGCTGCGCAGCTTGGGAGGAAAACTCTCAAGTTTGCTGTGGACCTAGAACTGCTTTAAACAAAGTCTTTTGAAAAAAAAAACAAAAACAAAAGTGTGGAACACATCTTTCCTGGCGGACTCAGGGCCTTCTAGGATCTCAGCGAGCGCGTTCTGGGCCCCGGCATCACGCTGTCCTTTGGGGTGAGCTGCAGTCCACAGGCAGAGCTGCAGGACGCAGCCGGGCCCGCCCCAGCTCCGGGAGGTCCTGGGCTTCATGATGGGGGGGACACGGAGCCCAGGCGGGGCCCAGACTCACTGAGGTGGGCCTGAGAAGGGGATCAGGGGACTTCCCTGGTGAGCCAGCAGTTAAGAATTCGCCTTGCAAATGCAGGGGTCGCGGGTTCCATCTGTGACCTTTAGTGGGTAACTAAGATCCCACATGCCTTGGAGCAACTAAAGCCCAAACTTCAAGTCTTGAGCCGTAGAGCCCTAACTAGAATCCATGGGCCACGACACAAGATCCCACATGCTGCAACTAAGACCTGATACAGCCAAATTAAAAAAATATATATAAAAACAGGAAGAAAGAGGAGAGCATGCCCACCAGCTACAGGAATCAATGGTTTGTTCCTCTGAAGAGACGCAGTCACTGAGTCCATAAGCCTCTATCTGAGGCACTATTCAGAGACCCACTGGGCACAGCTGCCAAGGAAGGTAACGCGGGAGCTGCCTGGAGCCCCAGTGGTTAGCACTCAGGTGCTCACTGCTGAGGGCACGGGTTCGATCCCTGGCCGGGGAAATAACATCCCATGAGCCTGTGCAGTGCGGCCATCAATCAACCGAGGAGGGTCCTTGGTCTGTCTCAGGGTCAGGGTGAGAGCTGTGTCCTGAGGGGCGTGTGGGGCCCTGTCCGTACACACAGGATCTGCACACAGCCGGCAGGGTCGCCCATGTGTCCAGGAAGCCTGTCCATGGCCCTGCGACCCTCCATCTGTGCCTGGAGTGGATTTGGGAAGGTGCAGGGGCCGGGGCTGGGTCCAGGTGCCTGCCATGGAAAGGGGCCAGAGGGTGGAGGCCAGGCTCCTGGTAACGGGGGGCCTGCTGGGTCTAAGTTCCCAGGCTGGACAGAGGCTGAGCCTGGCCCTGAGCCGTGGCCAGTCTGCTGGGCAGGAACATCTCCGTGGGGGCGGGCGGTACAGCCATCATGGCGAGGTCTGCTGTCGGTTGTCCAGCCTCCTGGGAGCCTCACAGGCTGGGAGTGGGCTTCCGCTAGGACATACTGACCTGGGGACTCTGTCCAGGCTCGGGTCCGGCCCCAGGGGCGGCACTTTCCCACCGCGCCTCCTGGGGTGGGGTGTGCGTGACACACAGCACGCACTCTGGGACCCTCCACGGGGTGGTGTTACGTCTCTGATGCACGTGACTCCTGGGTAGTGCTGGGCTCAGAGGTGATGACCCAAGAGGTCACCCTCTGGTTACCTGTTCAAACCCCCACCTGCCATGAGGCCACCCCCAGGCCTCTCTGTGAGGCTGTTCTCTCAGAGGGAAGATGGTTATGTGTCTCTCCTTCTGTGCTCCTGCCGTGAGACCAAGAGCCCATGGTCCAGGCAGCCTAGACATGGTGGGGAGGGGGCCACAGCAATAGGAGGGGGTCTTCCGGGGACCCGAGGCCCAGTCATGGGCCCCACACCCGCTCCCGCCCGCGGACATGGGCCACCCGTGGAAGCTTCTCTGGTTTGACAGCTCAGGGTGTGAGTCACCCCACCCTCTCCCTTCCATGTAAGGGAACCTAGTAAATGGACATGAAAGAAGGAAAGTGAAAGTGACATCGCTCAGTCGTGTCCAACTCTTTGTGACCCCATGGACTGTAGCCTGCCAGGCTCCTCCGTCCATGGGATCTTCCAGGCAAGAATACTGGAGTGGGTTGCATTTCCTTCTCCAGGGGATGTTCCCGACCCAAGGATCAAACCCAGGTCTCCCGCATTGCAGGTAGACTCTTTACTGTCTGAGCCACCAGGGAAGCCTTTCCAAAATGAGCATGACCCCTGCAAAGACTTCCCAGGGGGCGGTAGTGGTGAAGAATCTGCTTGCTAATGCAGGAGACACAAGGGACTGGATTTGGTCCCTGGGTTGAGAAGATCCCCTGGAGGAGGGCATGGCAACCCACTCCAGGATTCTTGCCTGGAGAATCCCATGGTCAGAGGAGCCTAGCGGGCCACAGTCCATGGGGTCGCAAAGACATGACTGAGCACACATGCAGATTGAGTACTGCATGTTGCAGGCGGATTCTTTACCAGCTGAACCGTCAGGGAAGCCAGTACTGCTCATGAAGACACAGAAATAGACACCCCTGCCTCCCCTTGGTTCCTGGCACCACCCTGAGAACCCAGCAGGCTGGTCCTGAAAGCAGTCAGGGGCCTCACAGAGCACGCCTAAGGGATCTGCTTCTTATTGCCTTTCTGTCCGGATAATATGGGAAGCTCCCAAGGCTGCTCAGATGAAGGCCACCCCCCCAGCCCAGACTGAACATCCAAACTCTTTTTAAACAAGAACCGCTCGCCCGCGGCGGGACCAGAGACGCTCCCTACACATCAGGGCTCGGCCGGGTGTCAGGGCGGGCGGGGGCCCAAGCCGGGGATGCCACCCCAGCAGACAGCTCACCTTCCCGAACACGGCCACGCGCGTCTTGTCGATGTACGGCTCCTTCAGCATTGCCCTGCAGGCCAGACAGAAAGGGAGGGGTCAGTGAGGCCTGGACCCCAACTTGGGGGCTGCAGCCGGGCTTTCCTGCCCTTTTCAAAGAGGAAAGCACCCTCTTGGAGGAAGTACTGAGACTCCAACTGTTGGCTGCGCTTACGCAGCGCATCGGACGCCCATGTGAAGCACTCGAGGCTCCCGTGCATCGCCTCGGGGCGGCCGGGTGTGCCAAGCTCGAAGGTTGAGAACCAGCAACTCACAGCGGCACAGGCCATGCTGGAGACTCGTGGGCCTGGCTGGGTCCCGTCTCCGCCACGGTCACCCCTCGCTTGGACCACGAGAGCCTCAGGCTCAGGGAGGGAGCTCAGAGGTCCGCAGGGGTGACTTGGCTGTGAGTCGGGGCACTGGGCCCTCCACCTGGGCGCCCTCGCCCCCGGCTCCTGGGAGGGTCCCTCTCGTGGGCCTGTCGGGGGGCAGCATCATTCTGCTTTGAGCCTCCGGCAGGGCCCCGCTTTGGATGTGCCCAGCTCGGCGCCTGGGGGTTGCTGCCTGGGTCCTGCTTCGTCCCTATGCGCATCTCACTGCCGTCCCCCAGGGCCCCTCATTTCCCCCACGAAGCAGCTGGAATCGTCCTGGTTTCTGGACCCTCGTTCAGCAGCAGGAGTCCTGCCAGGAGTCTATCTGCTGCTTCTGTCCACTTGCCGCCACTGGGAAGCCTCCCTCCCCTGCCTCCCATCACCCCTTTCTGGGTATTGCCCGGTGGTTATTTTCTTGCGTCTGCTGGCTGGAGCCACCTCGTCGCTTCTGACTGCCCTTCTCGGTCTGGGGGGCTGTAAAGCTCCCGAGCTTGGGCCCCAAGAGTGCGCGGTCCTTCTCCAGTCGGCTCTCCAGGGGTCCCCACGCCCCAGACCCGGCCAGCCCTTCGTGGTTAGAGCAGCGCTTCTACGGTGACGTCGGAAGCCCATGGACGCCCCGTTCCTGGGGGTGGGCGGGACGGTCCAGAGTGGAGCAGCAACTGCTCTGACTTCTCACCTTGATACAAATTCAGGTGACTTCCGTGCCCTTGGCACAGTCAGCCCTCTGCATTCATGGGTTTCACATGCACAGATTCAACCAAATGCTCACTGAAAATATTAAGGAAGAAACCCAGAGAGTTTCAAAAAGCAAAACTTGAATTTGCCACACTCTGACAATGATCTACACAGCCTTTACATTGTATTGACAACCCCTGCCCCCCAAGAAAACCCAGAAAAATTCAGGAATCCAGAGGGAACAGAGATAACACAGTAAACAGAAGAAAACCATCACTAACATACCTAGAAAGAGAAGAAATACTGAACCAATAAGACAAGAAGACTTTGCTCTTGGGTGAAGAGAGAAGGTTACGGAGTTTGAAGTGTCATGCCTGACAATAAACATTAAGAGAAAGGCTGGAAAATAGGAGATAAAGGGATGTTGAGAATAAACCCAGAAGCACCCCAATCAACACAATAAAAGCTCCAGAAAGAGACAACAGAGAAAGAAGAAGTCAGCAGCACACTACAGTGAAAACTTTCCGAGGACAAAGAAGAGTTAGTCTCCGGTCTGAAAAGTCCCACACCAAGAGCTGAGGTCTCAGCATGCCAAGAGCGAAGAGGTCCTTCTCCTGGAAGGGAGCAATAGACCATCTACGAGGATCAGCAAAGATAGGAAGATCAGCAGATGTTTTTCACTAGCAACCCCGGATGGTGGATGATTCCAGGGCCTTCTAGATAGAGATTAGTATCTATGTAGACTTGACATTTAGATAAACAATAACCTCAAATGTGGGAACAGAATAAAGACATTTTGAGATGTTTTCTAGATTCATGAAGGACAAAGTAAATAAAAAGGGGGATATATATCTGATGTTCTTTGGCATGAGACCCGGGGTGTGTGCAAAGCATCCGACATAGGAAAGGCGTGACAGGGCATCAAGGGTGACCCTGAAGATACCTGGTCCAGGTGGAGCAGGAGAAAGGGGGCTGCAGCTCGAGAGAAGAGAGTGGAAATCGACAGGCTATTAGCAGGTGTGGTGGATTGATGCTTTCAAACTGTGGTGCTGGAGAAGACTCTCGAAACCAGTCAATCCTAAAGGAAATCAACCCTGAACATTCACTGGAAGGACAGATGCTGAAGCTCCAATACTCTGGCCACCTGATGCGAAGAGCCGACTCATTGGAAAAGACCCTGATGCTGGGAAAGATTGAGGGCAGGAGGAGAAGGGGACGACAGAGGACGAGATGGTTGGATGGCATCACTGACTCAACTGGACATGAGTTTGGGTAAACTCCAGGAGATGGTGAAAGTATCCAAGTGAAAGACAAAGCTAGAGTCTAGGAAAAGTTAAATGATGTAGCAGAAAGCAGGGCATGAGACCCCACGGGGTCTGCAGTCAGCACCATTTACGCAGTGATCCTGCACCTCTGATGGCTGATCTAACCAGGCAGCTGATGTAACAGGCCTGGGAGAATGATGGTCCTCACCTGTGACAACCGGAAGTCAAGTGATGAGAAATTGTGACGTCTTGACAGCCATGTTCAGAAAGGTGGAAGCAAACACTTGATGAAGGGGGTGAGGGGGTCGAGGGTGGCTGCCTCTGCGAAGCAGGGCTGGTGGGAGGGTCGGGTGAACGGCAAGGGAACTGGTGTGGTTGATTTATGCATTTGCTATGGGTTGAATTCTGCAAAGTATGTTGGATTTCTAACCCCCTAAACCTCAGTGTGGACCATACCTGTCAATAGGGCCCACTGCCGATGTAATGAGTAAGTTAGGATGAGGTCACATTAGAGTGACTGGTGTCCTTCTAAGAGGAGAAGAGACAGAGACCTCGGGAGGACACAGCCCGTGAAGACACAGGATTGCAGGGATGGATCTGCAAGCCGAAGATTGCCAGCACCCACGGGAGCGGGAAGAGCAGGCCCTCCCCGCCAGGCGTTAGAGGGAGCGCAGCCCTGCCCACACCCGATCCTGCTTCCTAGACCTAGGAGATGCAACACTTAACACCTTGGCTTGTTTAAAACATGGTGCAGGTGTCATAGGACAGCCTGGCAGACTTCAGGTCTCACACACGCACACAGCCTAGGTCCACCTTCAAAGCACGGTGGCCATGCCCACACAAGGAGCCACTGAAGACACCTCTCCAAGTTTCTGAATTCTCTCGTGACCCCAATCGACGCTGACGGGGCTCGAGGCTCATCTGGTGAAAGGGCCCATGGGTCCCCGCGGGGTTCTGCCGCACAGCCGGATGTCCAGACCACAGGTGCTGGGACCATGTCTGTGCAGAGACCACGGTGTCCACCCCAAGGGGCCTTGGTGCTGGGGTCTTGGCTCCATTCCAGTTCATAAACTATCTCGGACTTTTGTTCTCAGCCCTGCGTGCACATCCACAGGCAGCCTCCGATCTCTGGCGACTGGCCCGGCAGCGACTTTACCTGGAGGGTCACTTCCTGAGCTGAAGCCATGCGTCACGGTCACAGTCCTCACCCATAAAGTGCTCAGGGGGTTTCTGGGGAAAACAGTGTTTTCCAGTCTCAAATATTTTTATGATCTTGTTGCTACGTGTGCTCAGTTGCTCAGTTGTGTCCAATTCTGCAACCCCATGGACTGCAGCCTGCCAGGCTCCTCTGATCGTGGGATTCTCCAGGCAAGAGTATTGGAGTGGGCTGTCGTTTCCTTCTCCAGGGGATCTTCCCCAGCTGGGGATTGAACCCGTGTCTCTTGCATCTTCTGTATTGGCAGGCAGATACTTCACCACTGCACCACGTCTGTCCACTAATTACCCGGGCAGCTCCATGTACTGGTCATTTCTGGGGGAACGGTGGAGCCTCCAGACGGCAGAGTGCGGTTTGGGCTCTGGGAGCACGTTTCACCTCCCGGACGCTCTCAGGTGCCGCACAGAGCAGGGCATCCTTCTCGAAGGAGCAGGTGCAGCGCTCAGCTCCACCCCAGGGTCTGCAGAGGTCCTGTGTGAGGAGGGAGAGACTCCGGCCTCCAGAGGCACATCTGGGGGTGGTGGGCTGACACCCCAGGGCGTCTGTGCTCACGTCTTTCAGCCTTGCCCGTGTCCACGCCATCTCAGGCTGTCCCCACCAGTGGCCGGGGTGGGGCCCCTGCTGGCCCCCGTGAGCCTGGCAGAGATGCTCAGGGCCCAGATGCCACTGGAAGCCAATTCCTCCTTCTGTCTGTCCTTCCCTGTGTCAGACCCCCATGGTGGGAGGGCTCTGCCCCACTGTGCTCCAGCCTGCGTCCTGCACAAATATGCCTCCTGTACGTCTGAGCGTGTCCGGGCACTGCTTCCCAGGGACCCATGCTGATGCAGGCATCACGGACCACAGAGCTGCTCCCAGCACTTTTGGAGCTGGGGAACCTCGCAGCCAGAGACTCGACAAGGCAAGAAAAGGGGCTGGTGGGAGAAACGTGTTGCTAAGTTTGTCCTGCCCTGCGTATGTGTTTGGGGGGCAGCAGAACATTGTGAGTGATGCAGGACGCATGACTCAGTCCACATTCCTGATGTGTCCATGTCTGTCTCTGTTCCTCAGCATCTCTCAGAGTTTGCCCAAGTTCATGTCCATTGAATCAGTGATGCTATCTAATCATCTCATCGTCTGTCACCCCCTTCTCCTTTGGCCTTCAATCTTTCCCAGCATCAGGGTCTTTTCCAATGCGTCGGCTCTTTGCATAACATAGCCAAGGTATTGGAGTTTCAGCTTCAGCATCAGTCCTTCCAGTGAATATTCAGGACTGATTTCCTTTAGGATGGACTGGTTGGATCTCCTTGCAGACTAGGGGGCTCTCAAGAGTCTTCTCCAACACCGCAGTTCAAAAGCATCAATTACTCTAGCACTCAGCCTTCTTTATGGTCCAACTCTCCCATCTGTACACGACTACTTGAAAGACCATTTGACCTTTGTTGGCAAAATGATGTCTTTGCTTTTTAATACACTGTCTGGGTTTGTCATAGCTTTCAGTTATTCCTCTCTCCTTAAATCTCCCTGTTTGAATGTTTCCTGCCAGGACTCTCTCCCAGAAAACTTGCTACACTGCTACCAGGATCTCTGTTCTGAAGATGAAGGTGACTTTGCCACCTCCTGGCTGAAAACCCTCTGTGGGGACTCTGCTGCTTGGAGAGCAGGCGGCAGCTTGAAGGATGGGAGGGGAGGCGCCCAGTCCTGCTGTCCACCCCTCCCTGCGTCTCCAGCCTACACGCCACGTGGTGTTTATGGTGGTTGGGGGAAGGGCTGAAATGATGCACCCCTGCATCACCTCGACCTTCGCTCACAGTATTTCCCGTGTGGAATGTGCACCTCTCATTTCCTGCGGACACGTCCTTATTTATTAATCCTTTGAGGTGAGGTCCTGGCTGGAAGCCATCTCCTTGCAGCAGCCCCTACGGGCAAGGCTGTGCTCCCTCCTGGTTCCCTGAGCGCCTGTTCACATGCCCGGCTCCTCCTCCAAGGAAGGAGAGACCCGCAGGGCTCCCGGACCAGGGGTGGGGAGCCCCGGGGAGTGAGAGCTGGGGGCTGGCCTCATAGTTCCTTAAACTGAGAAAACCGGGCTATGTCTTTCTAATGAGAATACAGACCCAGATCCTAAGAGAGCTGAGAAAGTTTCCCACGGCTCCAGACATGTGGGGAGCAGCCTCCTGAGGTCCGCGTGGCTGGCGTGGCTTGTGCTCCTGACCCCCAAAGCCTCAGTGGCTTAAGAGTTGGCCAATTTTTCTATTTTACCATTATTTTCCTGGAACCAGTTCTGCCCTGTTTTTGAACAGATGGCCGATCAATCCTTTATTTATGGAAACACCGTGGGTGTGAAACAGCCGTGCGCCCTCTGCCTCTGCTCAGAGGGGGGCGACCAGGCTAGCCAAGCCGGCCAGCGGGGTGCCTGAAGGACACTGCGTCCTCCGCCGGGGCCTCTGGGTTTTGGGGGGGTTCGGGCCAGGAAAGGTGAGGACAGGAGGCAGGGGGAAGGATAGGCAGAGGGGGGCTCAGGGGAGGGGGCTCCACCGTCACCCTGTCACACCCCTCCTCCCCCCAAGCCCAGCCTGGGCCCTCACACTTGTCCCCCGGTGACACTGCAGCCCCGGTGCCGACCGCGCACCACCTGCTCCCCCTCCTCCCCTGCTCCTCCCTCCGCCCAGCTCTCTGGGTCTTGGGAGTGGGGGGGGGGGGCTGCCCCACTGCTCTCGTGGGTGATTGGTTCTGGGCTCCCGGGGAGGCTCCTCCCTTCCCTTCTGAAAGTTTCTGTAAGTGGATCAAGCACTGAAGGCAGGTGCTCTGGCACCCATCCTGTGAGCATGAGGAGCTCAGTGCTTGGCTGAGATGAGAGCTGGAGGGAGCCAGGCCTAGGCAGACCCTCACCGCCAGGTCTCCAACCAGTGGACCTGATGCCTGACGTCCGTCTGGACTCCAGAGCCAATATAATGCTGTGTCAGTTAAGCACGTTTGACACTGTGTTTGTGTGTGCTGTTGATTTTCAGGCAAAAGTATGGTGACGGATGCACCTTCCCAGACTCTTGGGTCCTCAGCCATCTCTCCTGCTCCTGTTTTCTGCCTGTAGCACGTGTAGGTCTGGCCGCATGGCCCTGTCTCTCTTCACCAGCTCACAACTCCCTTGAGGCGAGGGTGCCATTCACTCACTCACTCATGGTTTCATCCACTTAATACTTACTGAGTACACTTCACATGTATGTACACACCACACGTATGCACACATCACATGCCATCAATCTTTCTAAAAACAAGAGAGAAAACGTTCTGAAAAGTCAGTACAATGAAATCTTTTAAATCTCCAGAGCACAGTCGTGAAGACTCATGGGCTGGTATGTCACACTGTCTTATGGCCCTTTAGTCAGCAAATACTGATCCACCTGGGCGCTATATGCCACTCTCCGAGGCCCAGGGTCCAGCATCGTGCACCCAGATCACAAGGAGGATGACTGACGCGCCCACGCCCTTCCCGTTCCTGCAGCACCTGAGTCCGTGCATCTCACTCCTCTCCCATGTGAAGTCTGCCACGTGTGCAGTAAATTGGGAAGACCTCACCTTGGCTGACACGGCCGCAGGCCCATGAGTGGCACAGGTCCCTGACGGCTCTCATTCGGGGGTGACAGTAACATCCAGTCAACGCCTTTGCTCTTCAGCCCCTTCTGTCCCTGGAGACTCTGCCAGCCCTGCCTCCATGAGCAGGACATGGGAGAGCCACAAAACATGTGGAGTGGGGCTTCCGACCTGCCTGCTATACATTCACAGAGGTCCTTTCTCAGGAAGGAGGTGACTGGCTACATGGGTCACATTCCCTCTCCCCTTCCCTGCCTCCCCCCATGACCTGTGGCCAAGGTCCATGACCACAGCACTGGGAACCCACAAAGACCCACATCACGGTCTCTGCACCTTGTTGCAACTGGTGAAGCGGACAGGCCACCAGCCGTGTGACGACCAGGACCCTGGCCTTGGGAGCACATCGCTAGCAGGAATTCACTGAAGAATCACCAGAGGCTTCTGGGGGTGCCAGCAAAGCGCAGGCAGAAGGTTGCACCGCCAGGAAGCAGGACCATGACGCAGCCGGGCAGAGACGCGGCCCCCTCCCCGCCCCACCCCGCCACCGGGTGCTCACCGCACGGCCTCCATCTGGTCCTTCTCCTCCAGCGAGCCCAGCCTCCGCCTCACCTCGTGCAGCAGCCTGGTGCCTTGGAAGCCGCTGCCCCGGCCGTCGCACTTGACCACCACGGCCCCGTGGCTGCTCACCATCACCGTCTCCCAGGTCACCGCAAACTTCTCGGCCACGCTCTGGCTCCCCGGGGTGCCGTCCCTGGAAGAGGCAGGCCAGGCCTGGGCATACGGCCGGGGGCGCAGTGACTGGTCCCGCAGACTCGAGAGCCTGGGGGTGCTCTCCTGGGGCAGGGCCCGCCCCCACGCCTGGTTCCAAATGTCCTCCCCTTCCCCTCCTGCTTGGGCCCCACTATGGCCCGCCTCTCCTGTCCTTCCCGGGCGGGTTCCCAGGCTGCCCCTCGGTCCCCATCGCATGAGTGACCACACTGTGGTACTCTTTCCGGCGGCCCCTGGTTTGAGGGAATCAGGGGGCCAACTTGGTGGCGCAGACAGTAAAGAATCTGCCTACAATGCAGGAGACCCGGGTTCCATTCCTGGGTTGGGAAGATCCCCTGGAGAAGGAAATGGCAGCCCACTCCAGGATTCTTGCCTGGAGAGTTCCATGGGTGTGCACGTGCTGTGTATGTATGTGCTATGTGTACTGGTGTGTGTGTGAGCATGTGGTGTGTATGTGCTGTTGTGTGTTATGTCCTTTCATGTGCTGTGTGTGTCTGTGTATGTGTATGTCTGTGTATATGTGTCTGTATGTGTCTGTCTGTGTCTGTGTCTGTGTGTATATGTGCATGTCTGTATATATGAGTGTGTATCTCCATATATGTGTATGTCTATGTATATGTGTATGTGTGTGTCAGTGTATATGTTTGTGTATGTATGTCTGTATATGTGTATGTGTGTCTGTGTATATGTGTCTCTATGTGTATCTGTGTCTGTGTGTCTATGTATTGTGTCTGTGTATATGTGTATGTCTGTGTATATGTGTGTATGTCCGTATATATGCGTATGTGTGTCTGTGTATATGTGTCTCTGTTTGTATCTGTGTATACGTGTGTGCATGTATGTCTGTATATGTGTCTGTGTATATGTATTGAGTCTGTGTATATGTGTATGTCTGTGTATGTGTGTGTGTCTGTGTATATATGTCTCTGTGTGTATCTGCGTATATGTGTGTATGTATGTCTGTATATACGTGTCTGTGTATATGTATTGTGTCTGTGTATATGTGTGTGTGTGTGTGTCCGTATATATGTGTATGTGTATGTGTATATGTGTCTCTGTGTGTCTCTGTGTATATGTGTCTGTGTATATGTATTGCGTCTGTGTATATGTGTATGTGTGTGTATCTGTGTATATGTGTGTATGTAAGTCTGTATATATGTGTTTGTGTGTATGTCTGTGTATGTATATGTGTCTCTGTGTGTATCTGTGTATATGTATTGTGTCTGTGTATATGTGTATATCTGTGTATATATGTATGTGTGTGTGTCCGTATATGTGTGTGTGTCTGTGTATATGTGTCTCTGTGTATCTGTGTATGTGTGTCTGTGTATATGTGTATGTGTGTATATATGTGTCTGTGTATATGTATTGTGTCTGTGTATATGTGTATGTCTGTGTCCGTATATGTGTGTCTGTGTATATGTGTCTCTGTGTATATGTGTGTATGTATGTCTGTATATAGGGGTGTGTGTGTGTGTATGTGTGTGCCCATATATGTGTGTATGTGTGTCTGTGTATATGTATTGTGTCTGTGTGTATGTGTGTCTGTATATGTGTGTATGTGTGTCTCTGTGTATATGTGTGTATGTATGTCTGTATATATGTGTGTGTGTATATGTGTGTGTGTGTGTCTGGGTGCTGGCAAAGTGTCCAGACAGCGAGGAGAGTGTGTCAGTGACGAGTTGGGCAGGACCGTGTGTCCAGCCGGGCGTCTTTGGGTGCAGTCTTGTCACTGAGGGCCTGGCTGGGTGCCAGGGGTAATGCACAGAGCTCTCGGGCTCTGGGCGCCTTCCTGGGTGCTGACTTCCCTGGGGCCCTGGGGCAACCACAGTGCAGGCCCGCCCCTGGCCCTTTCTTCCCAGAGTCTCCCTCGCCCCATGGCCCCGTGCACACTGGGGCAGGAGCCCGAGTCAGGACACAACACCGTCAGAGGGGCTTGCAAGGCTCTGAAAGGGGTTCTCGAAATCTGAACCAGAGGCTTGCCAGTTAGCAGGAGGCAGATCTGAAACCGTCCTGTGGGGGGACATTCGGTGTTTAAGCCTGCCTGGGGGTGCAGGAGGGGCTACTGGCCCCTGCGAGCCCCCTGCCGGCAGGCCCCCTGCCCAGAGAGGTCAGGCTCCCAGCCAGCTCTCCCGTGGTCCCTGGGCCACTGAGCGGCCACCGCAGCAGGACCCACGGGACGTGACTCAGCCCCTGCATTCCATGTCGCCAGTCCCCTGAGGCCAAGCGGGCCCTGCTCTCCTTTAACAGCCAGGCTCACCGGTAGTTACACACAGCGGGCTCATTGCTTTCTGATTGTAGTTTGCAGCGGGATTGGGCTCCCCTTCCCACCTTCTTGAGAGTTTGGCCCTTTCCCCTGGGATACTTACACCACCAGGAGCAAGGGGTAGTGGGCAGTGTCGGTGAAGGTCGCTGGCTTGAGGATCTGAACGGGCAGGTCTAGGCAGAAACAGAACACATGAGGGGCCAGGAAGGAAGGGGCGGGATGGGCCCCCAGGGGCCTGGGAGACGGGCCCTCGCAGGGGCCAGGCCGGCCCTCCACAGACAGCGTGACCCAGCTCCCTCTGGACTTGGACAAAGTGCCCAGTCAGCCTCCTGGAGGCTGAGTTTCTTCAACTGAGGGCTTCCCTGTGGCTCAGACGGTAAAAAGTCTGCTTGTAATGCAGGAGATCTGGGTTTGATCCCTGGGTGGGGAAGATCCCCTGGAGAAGAGACTGGCACCCCACTCCAGTCTTCTTGCCTGGAGAATCCCACGAACAGAGGAACCCGGCGGGCTAGTCCGTGGGGTCGCCAAGAGTCAGACACGACTGAGTGACCAACACTTTTCTCCATCTGACACTTAAAGGAAACCTTGTGCAGAGGAACATGGGGACAGAGAAATGCCTGGACCACTGTGAGTTGAGCGCTTGCTAACAACAGGATTCCAGGCAGGGGGAAATGAGCCCCCAAGGGAGCATGTGGTCTCTGCCATGAGGGACTCCTGCAGTAAACAGGTACGAGGGGACGGACACTGGGTGAGTGGTGGGGGTGCGGGGAGGCAGAGACGTGCGGGGGAGTGGGTGGTGAGGCAGGGGCAGAGCCCAGAGGAAGAGGCTGGAGCTGGGGGTGGGGTCCTCACTGTTCATGGGCTGGAGCTGGGCAGGCCTCAGTGCCTGAGGAGCCAGCGGCCGTGGGTGGTGCGGCCACAGGTCCTGCAGCCGGGGCCCTTTGGATGTGGTCCCTGGCCGCCAGGATGCGGTCAGGGAGGGAGAGGAGCATGTCCCTCACCGCTGTCGCTGTCCTCCCCGCAAACGAACCTTCCTGCCCGTTAGAGATTGTTCATTGATGTTAACTACAGCCCAGATCGCAACTCATCTGAAATGGGCATCTTAGCCCGCTCACAGTCATTACACCAACAGATACACTGGAGGCTGGAGGGTGGGCTCAGCAGCAGGCACTGACCCGGGTCTCATTACTGATTCCGGCTGAATGTTAATGGCTTGCAAATCAGATCAATGGCCCAGGGACCCGGGGACCTTATCACTGAAATATCCATAAAACATGGTCTGGGCTGCTTTCTGCCACTGATAAGCCCACGGGCAGACTTTGGCCACCAGCGGCAGAATACATTCGGAGAGCGTTCCTGGAGGTGGGCGGCTTCCCTGAGGACAGCCTTAGCCTCCAGGAGCATTCAGTGACAGACAAAATAAAAACAGGCGGGTGGGGCGACAGCGCTCAGGTTTGCTAGGACCCCAGGGGGTGATGTGTGGACGCCAGCCCGCACACGCTGCGCCCCCTCTCTTGTCTTCATCTCTGAACACCTGCGAGTAAAGCCTCGCCCTGGAAGAAACCTCGGGTGGCCTGTGGAGGCGGGGGGCTGGCTCTTTGTTTCTCAAGCCCCTTCTCTGCATTTTTGGAGGAGGGGGTGGCGAGCACCGCTCAGGGCTCTAGGGTGTGGGAAACGTTCCTGTGGGAGCCCAAGAGCCCGCCTGGAAGGAGGAGGAGGAGGGCCTGGGCTAGGAGATGAGGGTGGGTGGGTCTAGACAAGGAATGAGATCTGGCCTCCAGGTTACAGACTTAGAGAAAACTGGCTGAGAGGAGGGACGGGGTGGGGCAGGAGGCTGATGTCTGAGCGTGGAGGCTGGCGGGCTTCAGAGGGCGTGACCTGTGCAGTCCTGCTGGACTGGAAGCCCTGTCATCATCATAAGCCTCCTGTTTTCATTCTGCTCAGGCCCTGCACGTGACGGGGCCTGCCTGAGGTCTGCATGGAGAGATGGAGGCAGTGGCGTGGGGCAGACCTGTGGAGGTCTCCTGCCTGCGTATTCATCCAGCCTTCCACCCAGCCTTGCCTCCAACTCTCCATCCCTCCATCCCTCCATCAACCTAAAGTCGTCCTGTGTGTTTGCCTTGGTTCTTCCTGACAAAAGGAGAGCAGGAAGATCAATACACACTTAACGAGAGGGCTCCTGTGAACCTAGGTCTGTCCTGAGTGACAGGTGCTGCATGACAGTTTGGACCAGCCACGGACGCCCTCCCCGGGGGCAGCCTAGACTTCCCTTTGCCCCCTTCCTGGAGATATGGAGCCTCCACCCTGAGCAGTCAGTTCTCTCTTTACAGCTCGGCAGGGCGAGGGAGGCAGACAGGACCTGCGTACAGGCTTCAGGGCAGTGGGGGCAGGTTTCAGGCCCTTTCTATACGGGGGTCCCTGCCCCATCCCCGTAAACCACGCACAGACCCTGTGGGGGGCTGCCCGCGTCTCTTCTCCTCCTGTTAGAGCCTCAGCTCCTGGAGTCTCAGGAGCCTCGTTTTCGGACTGGACCCCCTCCCTTCCTGCCGCTCGCTTTCTGTTCTGTGGTTCCCCGCGCCCTGATGACGGCATCTGTGGGCAGCCCCACTGCCCCATCCCCTCTTTCTGACTGATGGCCCCTCTCCCGCTCGGGACTGGACGTGCCCCCTGGACACACAAAGCTGCCTGCACTTCCAGGGCAGAGTGCATCCTGCCGGGATCTGCGAGCATTTCAGGGACATTGAGGGAAATTCAGACCCGGAGGGACGGGGTGGCCCTGGCTCAGTGGGCAGAGATGTCCCAGCTGGGTGTGACCACAGCCTCCACTCACACTCCTCCTGGGTTGGCTTCTTCTCCATCAGCCCCTGAAACACTGAGCACGTGGGGGCCAGAGCAACCAGCTGTGCCCACAGGCCCGGGGCGGGGTCCCTGCTGCAGCCCAGCACCCCCCGCACCTCTCCCCCCGTATCTCCCCCTCACCTCTCCCCCTTGTATCTCTGCCTGCACCTCTCCCCCCCTGCACCTCCAGCAACGATTAGGAAGCTTCCAGCACCATGTGACTCCGTGCGCCCAAGAACAAGACATGGGTGAAGGAGATGGGGGGCGAGGCCCCGTGTGGGGACAGCCCTGAGGCTGGAATCACCTGTCAGCCTCCTCTCTCCACCAAGATTCCTCCCTAGATGGACACCCCCTTCTTCTCTGCCCACTGGAAGAGACTCCAGGAGCCCCTTCAGAGCCCGCCTTCCTGCTCTGAAGGACTTGGCTTCACGGGATGTGCAGTCTGGGGCAGAGGCTGGACTGTGCTCCGTGGGCAAAGCCTCGGATCCTGCCCTCAGGGGCTCGCAGGCCAGCAGGCGGCCAGGTGCCATCTGACAGGGATGCTTAACAAGACTCCAGGGCTCACGGGCCCCAGTGGTGAGCCGCTGCCCGACTGAAGGGACAGGGCAGATGACGAGGAGCTCCCAGATGCTGTCTGGGGAGATACACACAGGCTCTGGTCACCCTCCCTCCACCACTCCAGGGCCTGCATTCAGGCATCACTCTTTCCCATCCATCCCTGGTGACCTTCCAAGTTAGCTCCCAAGACCTCAGAGACAATGGGCAGATGGTACCTGGATGGGTGACTCAAAAATGACTTTGAGGTTTGCGGTCTAAATGACCTGAAACCAGTCCACACACTAAGGGTGCCATCCCCAACGGCAGGACAGTGTGAGGGACACCGTGCTGGCAGGACTGGAGGTTCCCCAGGGCGGACGCCCAGTGGGCATAAGCCACGTAAGCAGGGCACCGTGTGCAGAGGTGATGAAGCTGCCAGGACCCCCTTCCCACCTGGAGCTCAGGTCCCATCCAGCCGGGCCCAGGGACTCTCGGGGTGCCTGCCGCAGACAAGCACTCGCTGAAGGACTGAACGGACAGTTCAGAGGGAGGGCACAGGCCAAGGAAGGGCGCTGATGGTCCCCGGCTGCCCCGGCCACCAACCACCCCTCGCTGTAGGTCTCCAGCTGCGAGGACACCCCTCAGCCCGTGAGCGACACGGACAGGCAAGATGACAAGCAGTAAGGGCATCAGTGGCACAGAAAAGGAATGTCTGGGGGCCCTCTGCCCTGGGTGGCGTCCAGGCCCTGCTCCCCACCAGGGAGAGAATTTCCATCCGGGACCACGTCTAAACTGTCGGCCTCCGGGGGACAGAAATCACCACTCCGCTTTATTTCTGTCTGGCACAGAGCGAATACAGTCGGCTTCCCCTGGGCCACCCTGGCTGCTGGGGGGCAGCTGGGGCCCACTCTGGGGCACCGGCCCTTCCCCGCCCTCCCGCGGGCACAGCAGTCGCAGCTAGGGTTGGCAGCGGCGGCTTTCCCCGAAGCACTCACTGTAGTCCTCAGTCTCGATTTTCCCGTACTCCACTTTCGGCATCTGCCGGTCGCTTATGGCTTTCTGAACGTGCTCGTTTGTCTCCAGATCAAACATTTCTGAAACAGAGAGAGAACAACGATGCATTCAGATTCAGTCCCCACTCACGGACGCCCTGGGGTTTCATGGGCCTCCTGACTCCTGTGTCGGAGGACAGGATCACGCATCCACGGCAGGAGCCAAGAGCCGCAGACGTTAGATCCCAAGCTTGGGTCACAGGACGGGGGTGAGTCTAGGTCAGCTCAGGGGCCCTGGGCAGGCAGTGGGTTCCTCCATGGTGCCTGGTGCCCCTGGCCCCGACACTCACTCTCCACGGCATTTCTCACACACAGGAATCATTTTGGGGGTGTGACTGGCCTCAAGATTGCTGGTTTTTTGGGGAATTGACATCACGTCTGTCAAGGCAAGTGGTTTCCAAATGGAGTGGCTGCAATACTACACTGGAAGAGAGGATAGGAGCTGGAGGTGACCTTTGCCACTTTGTCCAGGAGAGGAGGACGGACTTGGCTTTCTTGCCTTAGCCGTAGGTGGCCTGGCCCTGGAGACCCTCATTCAAGGTGGTCACGCGGCCATGAGAGTCCCACTGCAGGGGGACCAGCCTGTCTGCCTCCAGGCCAGAGTGGTGGCCGCACCCTTCCCAGCACCTGAGGGTCTGCTCTGAGATCCTTACGTTGTGCCGGCTCACGGAGGCCTTGGCAGGGACCCTGTGCCCACAAAAGCCCCCTTCTTCCAGCCCCTGCAGAACTGGCCCTCCTCCAACTTCTCCATCTGACACGTGACTCATTTCCTCCTGTCTCCCCCCAACCCTACTTGGAGACGACTCGTGGTTCATTCGAAAGGAAATTTTATCTTCAAGGGGCTTGACTTTTGTGTAGACAAGTCACTTGGAAATGGGTGTGAACCTTTTAAAGAAGAACCTAATCTCACAAGCATGCTGATAACTGCTTTTAAGAACAACAGGTCAGGAAGGTGAGCCAGCACTTTGGACCCCAGCACTTAGGACCCCCAGCGCTTAGGACCCCCAGCACTGAGTGTTCTATCTGTGGAGCCACGGGGACCACCCTGAGCAGGACCCCCACACTTCCTCGAGGGCAGAGGCGACCGAAAGTTCCCAGGGCCTGTGACAAGCCAAGAAACAAGACAGAGGTGCTTCACGAGTTTGTTGAGCACATATTTGGATATTTAGCTTTGGTGACAAGGTGAGGGGAGAAATGGTGAAACTAACTCTCAAATACATGGAGCATTAACAATTGTGAACCTGGACCCCACCGTCCGGCAGGCAAGAAATGCTGTCCTTCGTAGAGAGTGAGAAAGAAAAGGTGTGTCCACAAGGGCTGTGCTGACACAGGGAGGTCAAACAGTGCGTGCGCCTGCTTAGGCCCTCAGTCGCGTCTGACTCTGCGACCCCGTGGACTGTAGCCCGCCAGGCTCCTCTGTCCACGGGACTCTCCAGGCAAGAACACTGGAGTGGGTTTCCATGTCCTCCTCCAGGGGATCTTCCCGACCCGGGGATGGAACCCGCACCTCTGATGTCTCCTGCACTGGCAGGTGGGTTCTTTACCACCTGCACCGCCTGTGACGCCTGGAGGTCCTGGCAGACATGACCTCAGCTCGGGGACCTGGAGACCCAGCCCGGAGGTGGCACTCTCTTCACCTTGCAGTCCTGCAGACATGTGAGGGAGGGGACCCCCAACCTCAGTGTGGCGAGATCGCCCCGCAGTCCTAACAGAGCAGAGAGCAGTCGTTTTCCCTGAGCCCGAACGGCCTCGGCCCTTTAACACAGCCTCGGCCCTTTAACACAGCCTTCCGGACCCACAGAGAGCCGGTTTACGAGGTATTAACTATTTCCTCTCCATGTCTATCCACACTCTCAGGGCAGGATGCTCGGGAGGGAGCCCCACCAGACAATGGAAATGACGCCATTTCCCACATTCTCTGCTGTCTCCGCACCTTCGCACTTGCTGTTCTGTGATCCCGGCTCCTCCCCTCCATCAGGTCAAAGGTCACCTCCCCCGAGAGAAGCCCCCACCATCAATCTCAGGACCCCCTCCAAGTCCACACCACACCAGCTCTCAGAGACTCGGTCACCGGACTGGCTGCCCCATCCCACGCCGGGCGTCGGGGCTCAGTCCCATTCCAGGGACAAGACACACGAGTTTCCAGTAACAGGAATCGACTGGCCCGTGGAAATCTGACTCACGCCCGGGACGTGATGCATCTTCACGGTAGCCGAGCCTGGGTTTTGGCCCAAGTCTTTCTTCCTTTTCCCACGTGAAAAGGACTGAGTGATCCCCCTGGGGGTTTCCGAAACCCCATGGGGCTCTGAGGGCCCTGGTGTTCAGATCTCTTGGTGGTAAGAGTCGAAGCAATCAAGGCCTATTAACCCCTGCTTCCCACACCAAGCAAAACAAAACAAAAGCACATTTTAATCCAACTGATTTAAAACTTGACAGTGCTTGGAGGGCTAATGAACACCCAAGTTACTATTTAATTTTGGGAATTGAGGAAATTCATTGTTGTTCAGTCGCTCAGTTGTGTCCGACTCTTTGCAACCCCATGGATTATTGCACACCAGGCTTCTCTGTCCTTCCCTATTTCCCAGAGCTTGCTCAAGCTCATGTCCATTGAGTCGGTGATGCCATCCAACCATCTCACCCTCTGTCCTCCCCTTCTCCTCCTGCCTTCAATCTTCTCCAGCATCAGGGTCTTTTCCAATGAGTCAGCTCTTCACATCAGGTGGCCAAAGTATTGGAGCTTCAGCATCAGTCCTTCCAGTGAATATTCAGGGTTGATTTCCTTTAGAATTGACTGGTGTGGTCTCCTTGCTGTCCAAGGAACTCCAGGAGTCTTCTCCAGCACCACAGTGTGAAAGCATCAGTTCTTCGGCACTCAGCCTTCTTTGTGGTCCCACTCTCCCATCCATAGGTGACTAGTGGAAAAGCCATAGCTTTGACTATACGGACCTTTGTGGGCAAAGTGATGTCTCTGCTTTTAATACTCTGTCTAGGTTTGTCACAGCTTTTCTTCCAAGGAACAAGCATCTTCTAATTTCACTGATGCTACCCAAACCCAAGCTTATGGTAGGAGCTGGAGCACGGACCTCACAGGGTCCTCTAGAAGCCTCAGCCCTCCAGCCTGTGATCTGGACCTCTGTGTCTGCTTAGGAGAAGCCTCGGGGCTGGCAGCTAAGGGGCTTGGGGGCGCGGGTGGGGCTGTGGGTCAGACCAGAGGAGACGCATGAAGACAGGGGATCAGCAGGAACACAGAAGGAGCGTCCTTGGGGACAAGAGCAGGGATGGGTCCTTTGCTGTCAGAGAAGCAGCTCCGAGCTCCCACTTCTGGGGGCTGGACGAAGCTCCGGGGGTTGGGGGGAGGCGGCCTGGATGGGCAGACTTCACCAGGCAGGAGACCTGGAGCAGCCGCTCAGCGCTGGTTGTCACCTTCTCTCCACGCATCTGCACGAGGATTTGACACTGCTGACACCAGCTAAGCTTGAAGGAGCTTTGTGCTCAGGCGACACGCAGCCTACGAGCGAGGCTCGCGTGGAGCTACGGGGAACACAGTTGTCACCAGAACACGGAGCTTCTGGATGGTTCCGGGGCCTGGGAGCTGTGGCTTTGAGAGGGAGCCCCCGGAGCTCTAACTGATGGCACACGGCCTCGGCAGACGGCGTGTGAATAGCTAGTCCCTCTGTATTAAAATCCCACCCTTCACAGAAAGGCACCACGGCAACAGACTATTAAATTTAGTTAAATATTAGATTTCTCATTTAATGATTGCCCACACAACCGGTTTTATCAGCAGAGAGCTGGCTGTCCCACCGGGGAGTTGAGTTAAGCCATTTTATTTGTTCCCATAATTGCATTCAAAGAGGGCAGGGGCTCGGCGGAGGAAATAAGAAAAGATGGGCTTGTTCCCCAAGGAGTCTCTTTTGACGTGGTGGCCATGGGGACCTGCCGTCAGGAGCAGACAAATGGCCGCTCCTTAATTAAATGTGAGCCCCTCTAATATTTGACGGAATTAGCTATTATCAGATCTGGACACGGTGAGCCTGCTGGAAGCCGGGTGGCTCGCAAGGGCTGCCTCCCAGCTGGGCCCCCGCATGCAGGCGCCGTGTGGCCGTGGCTGTTCTGGGACCCAGTTGGCTCAGGCCATTGGTGGAATCGCCACTCGGCTGCATTTGGGGGCCTGAGTGACCAGCATCGAGTGGAAGCCAGCGAGCTGCTGGGCTGGAGGAGAGAAGCACTGCCGCCCCGTCTCGGGTTGCTGCCGGCGGCAGGAGGGCGGGGCTGGCACGGAGGCCGCTTGGTCTGGGCAGTGCTCCCCCGTTGCCGGGGTCTGGCCACCCGCCTGGATTTCCAGGCCTTCTGTAGCCCGGGCCTTCCTGGTGTGTCTTAGGCAGCTGTCCCCATAGCGTCAGTGACCACGGCATCCCAGAGGCAGCCTGCCCACCCGGGGACGTGCGGCTCAAGCCCAGTGCGGCACGGATGCGATCCTAAAGGTGGTCACACGGGTGCTGTGCCTCTTTCTCTCGTCAGGCTATAAGCGACACGGAGGCAGGGTGATGGAGTGTGTCTATAGCACTGGCTCGATGAGGGGCCACGTGTGGCCCCCACCCAGTCAACTCTGTTCTCACTGAGGACGCAGTAGCGGTGGACATGGAGCCTCCAGCCCACCGCCCTCCAGAGTCCTGGGGACAATCTTGGGCTTGATGGGGCCAGGCGTACTCGTGCCGACCCCTCCGGAGGACATCTCCCCATTGTCCTGGCTCCTGACATGCCTGATGTCACAGTTGACACCCCTGTGTGGTCACTCGGAGGAAGGTGGGGAGGGCGGGGTGGCCACCAGGCAGAGGACCGAGGGAGCACGTGGACTGGCACCAGACAGCCGCTGGCTGGGACGGCCTCAAACAAGAGCCGCTGTGACCCCACCTGCCACGCAAGCGGGCTTTGCTTCTCTATAACAACCCGCCTGAAGGGAGCAGGAGGCAGAGACGCTGGCCAGGAGTTCTGGGGCAGGAGCCACGCCCGGCAGCCCAGGAACTCGGGTCCAGGAGCAGGGGTCACGATGCCATGGGCGCTGTCGGGGCAGACCACGCTGTACCCACCTGCAGGCGCTCGGGACCCGGGCTGGGCTGTGTTGGGGGCAATCGGGGAGCTGGTGGTCCTCTGCACCTGGATCGCACCCCCTCCCCGAGCTCACACCGCTTACGCTCACCTCAAAGCGTCTATTTACACGGCTGTGTCGGCTCCGCCGCCCCAGTGCCTGAGTGGCCTGAACACCCAGCACCTAACGAGTGCACTCCAGCCCTGACCACAATTACACTCTTCAGGAAACAGCTTCTAAATAATTCAGAGTCACATCTGTGACACCGCAGCCTCTGTTTGTAAAGAAGATTTTATAAAGGGAAAGAAATCAGATAGTCCCAGAGTGGCTCTGGGGTCAAGGGGCAGAGGAGGGGGAAGGCAAAGAATTCTGAAACAGTAATTTCAAGTTCCAGAGCGGGTCAAGAAACCAGGAAATGGCTGCTGTCTTCAGAGACAGGCGGGACCTTCCGGGGCCCTGCCTGCCATGGCCTGTCTGCATGGGGCTGTCGCACAATGCAGGCCACAGGCTGACTTGTCCAGGCTCCCCACAGCGTCTCCAAAGACTCGCCCTTGGGCTGCTGGGCTGCGGGCAGGTGGCCCCCACGCTCCGTCTCCCATCTGCACGCAGGTCGGAACCGCCTTCCAGCCGAGTGGGGGGACCCTGGGCTCTGCTTGGGGCTCACAGACCACAGGGACTCAGTGCTGCGTCAGGCTAACCGGGGCGGTTTGTGGAGGGACCGTCGGGGAGGCTGTGGCTGTGAGCAGGTCACTCGGGTGACAGCAGAACGAAGGCCTCACCCCCAGTGACAGGAGCGAGCCACAAGGTCACGACCTTGTGCTTGGGCTCGCGCGAACCAAGGTCTGGCCCAGCCCGGCGGTGTGACCTCGGGTGAGCTGCTGTGAGGCGGGTGCCCAGGACTGTCCAGGAAGCTGCAGGCAGGCCAGCCCTTGATATTAGGTGGTCACTCGATTATGTAAAAAAAGGTGAGTGTAGTGCCAATGTGGATTAGGTATTTGGGGTGCAGTTCAAGGGCTCAGTCCTGCTGACCGCAGAACCCTCCCCCGGGGTCTCCCTCCTTCTCGGGGCTACCCTGCAACTGCACAGAGGCTGAGCAGGGTTCAGTGCAGGGCAGGGACCTCTGTCTCTGGGGCAGGGAGAGGATGAGGCTGTGGTCGCCCAGCCGGCTCAGAGGCTAGGGTGTGTGGGCTTGGGGGGGAGTGGCCTGCCTGGCCTGGCCTGTCTCCGGGTGGATGCAGGACAGAGCCGCTGGGCCTGAGTAGCCCCCGGGCCACCCTGGCCGGAGGCTGGGCTGGCCAGTGCTGTGCTCCGAGCTGGGGGCCGGGCTGTGGCCCTGCTGCCTGCTCGAGGAGGGACCAGCGCTCTCCGGCTGGGCGCACATCAGCTATGCTCCTCTGCCTCGGGTTTCCTCGTCAATTCTGGGGTAACGGGGGTGCCTGCCTCCCGGGCGGTGGGGGGAGAAGATGGGATAAAACACACAGAGGATCTGCAGCTGTGGCTCCGGCCTGAGGCCGGCTCTGCAACGCCGGCCCAGGTCACAGTCACCATCACCCCTACTTCAGGCCCCAGACCCGCCCTAGTTCTGGAAGGTGGTCACGGTGCAGCCTTGGGTGGGGCAGGCACATCATGTGGGCTTCGGCAGAGGTGCCAGGAGGCTTTGATGGACCCCTCAACCCCCCTGCGTCTCGGACAGGGGGAGCCCCACCCTCGCCTGGGGACAGCTTGCCCAGTTCAACAGACAGATCCAAACCCAGGGGCACTGTGTTCTGTGCCAACACAGAGGGGACATGTTGGGATGGGAGGCTCTGGAGCTGACCTGAGACCTGTTAGGAATTAGTTCAGTTCAGTTCAGTCGCTCAGTTATGTCCAACTCTTGGTGACCCCATGATATGCAGCATGCCAGGCCTCCCTGTCCATCACCAACTCCTGGAGCTTACTCAAACTCATGTCCATTGACTCGGTGATGCCATCCAACCATCTCATCCTCTGTCGTCCCCTTCTCCTCCCGCCCTCGATCCTTCCCAGCATCACGGTCTTTTCAAATGAGCCAGGAGTTAAACACCCAGGAAAAAACCCCCCGCAGACTCCCCACTGCAGTGCATGGAGATGGGACTCCATGCTTCAGCTCTGATGGGCTATTGGGAACTGTGACCTTCGGGTCTTATTTTCCAGGTGGCCCCCCCAGCTCTTCCTGCAGTGTCAGCATCTGGCACGGAGCCCACCCACGAATATATATACGGAATGGACTCTGTATCCACCCACTCTCACATCCATTTTCTGGCTTTTTTTCCTTTGCACTTAAATGATTCGGTTATTTACTTTTGATTTCATTGTTATTGACTTTTAATTTTGGATTTCTGTCTAAATGTGCTGCTGGCCATCTCCTTTCCGAAACCTTCCCCCTAACCAACTCTCCCTGGCCCCTGAAACCCTTCCATCGAGACAGCAGCAGTCCCTTGCCAAGAGAATTAAAGGAACCGCTATGAGGTGGGGCTGTCTGAGGGAGGGTGCTGAGCACGGTCCAGCCAGGGCTGGTGCAGCAGGGGTGCTGGTGCCAGGAAGGGGGGCAGACCGGGGGGAATGGAGGCCCAGACTACCGAGGGATTAGGGCAGAGGAAGGCCGAGACAGGGGGTGACCAAGGTCGAGGGCTCCTTACTTCTGAGCTCTCCCGCTGGCTGCCTGCACCCACCATTTCATGTGAACATACATGTGCACAACATGTCCCACATGTGTGTGGGTCCTGGAGAGTCTCTGGAAAGCTCCACCGCTACAGTGGCCTGGACATGAAGACCCCTGTGCCAAGGAGGTGCCCCCAGACCCACAGAAGCAGATGGGCTGGAGGCGTCCATGGAGCCTCGGCCCGTGACGGGGGACTCTCAGAGCCAGGAGGGCTTGGCAGGCCCAGCTGGAGAGCCCAGCACTGGCTGTGCACGTCAATGCGGCCCAGGGCTCTGCCTCAGGTGGGGCTCTGCCTAGGGGGTCGCAGACAAGGCCGGCTCACCCCAGGCGGCCTCCGGGCCTTGGCCCCTGCGGGCCTGTGGGCCCTCACTGGCTGGGAGAGCTTCACGTCCATCACATCTAACCAGTACTGGGGATGTGGGTTCGTCTGGAGCTGCCAGAAGACGACCATCGCGGCCTCCAAACAGAATCTACACCTGGATTACCTCTTAAAGCCTTTCCGCTTCCCCCTCCCACGTTGCAGGGAGATTTAAGACAAGACCAAAGAGCAACTTACTTTTCTTATCGGTCGTGTTGTGCACGGTCACCGTGGGGACCCCAGGACCTGCAGTGGGTAGAGAGACAAGGAGGCCGTGAGTTAGCTGAGACTCAAAGAGAACCAAGCCTTGGTTACCACATGCTCCTCGGGGCTCTGGGCGCCGGCCCCATGGAGGGGTCATCAGCGTGGACAACAGAGGCCAGGTCCCTGGGGGTTAAGGGCACATCTTCCTAAGTTTGCGTCCGTGCCAATTACAAGGAACCCAAGAAGTGCATGGTTTTAGGTGGTCACAACGAGATAAAACATCGACGCTCTTATAACCTCACTGTGACCCTCCAGGCAGTCCTACAGTGTCTTCACTGAGCTCCAGTCAATCTGCGGCCTCAGCCCTGAGTCACCCGTCGAGGCTGCCTTGCTGGCTCCTCCCGGGAGAAGCCCTCCCCTCCTTGTCTCCTAAATGCCTGGGTGACACTTGTAGGGTAACACGATCCCTGCGCAAGTGTTCAGCCGTGCTTCCCCGTTCCCTGATGCAGCTTCCAGTTCTTAGGCTGTCCCGAAGCTGCAGGCCTGGGGTGAGAAGGGGGCCTGGCCAGCTGCAGGCTGTCTGTAGGTCAACTGTGTTACCCTCTTTAGCAAAAGGAGAGTCTGGCAAGAGAAAAGGGCTCCCAAACGTACTTTTCAGATATTCTGAAGGCATACTGAGAGGCAGGCATGGACTTTTCCAGCCTCATCTCTGCGCCTTCTCTGCACTCCTGTTCCACTGGGGGTAGTGTGGTGGTGGTGGGCCTTCGTGCAGGGTGTGAAGGGCACCAGTCTTGCTCCCCATCCCCGCCCCAGCCTACTGTCCTCTCTGCCTGAAGTCTCTGCTCCCGGAAACAGGCTTTGTCTTCATTCAGTCTCTGCTCACACACCTCCTCCACCCCCCAAATCCCGATGCAAGAGAAACTCCCACCCCAGCCACCCCCCCAGCCCGGCCCCACTCCCCGTCTTCTTTATAGAGCGCTACCTCTTGCCATGACATCAGGACCCGAGAGTATGAATTTTCAGCATATGTGTCCACTGTTCATTTCAATTGCACTAGAACAGAAGCCCTAGAATTTATATGAACAAATTCTGAAACTTGGTCTTATTTACTGCCATTATCTCCAGCATCTAGAATGCTGTTTAGAACATAATTGGGACTTGATCACATATCTGTGGACTGAACGCTGAGCGAAGGACCCCAGACCACAAAGGAAGGAGCTGGGGAGGCAGCCCCTTGGCCCTGGTGATCTGGGGAGACGGCAGGGAGAGAGGCTGTGAGGGTGGGTGGGCAGCCTTGGGCAGAGGGGATGGATGTGTCCCGGGGCCTGGTGGGCGGGGCTGCTGTTCCTCTGCCTCGCAGAGTCCCCGCAGGGGACTCGCAGGTGCTCTGAGCTCATGGGGAGGCCGCATCTAAGCTTCGGGTTCACACTACTTGGGCAGCTTCCCCGGGATCACCATCAGGACTCCCTGCCCACTTCCAAGGGGCCCGGTGACAAGGGGCCGAGCTGTGAGCCGGGGGTCTGCGTGGGTCCCACCACCGCGAGGCTCAGAGCCCCGGCCACACTCAGAGGCTGCAGAGTGGAATCCCAGTCCTGGGCCCGGAGAGAGTGCGGCCAAGAGGCCACGGGGTCCGCGGTACCGTGAGAGGCACGAGGGGCTGCTCCAGCCGGGGGTGCCCCGGGGCCATCAGGGCTGAGGGACAGACAGCGGTCACAGCAGCCGTGGACTGCCTGTCCCCTGCCCGGGACCGGACCCAGACAGAAAGTCCAGGAGGTCTGGGGCCTCGTCTGACCCGCTGGGTGCCGCTCCTCCATTTCCCCATGGGTAGGATGCCCAGATCAAATGCAGGTTATCCAGTTACATTTGAGTTCCAGATAAACAATATGTATTTTCAGTATAAATATGTCCCAGGCAGCACTGGGATTTACAACTAAAAATTCACTTGTTGTTTACCTGAAATCGAGTGGTACTGGGTGTCCTGCCTTTTTATTTGCGGAACCAGGCACCTTTGACCCGGGGTGGGGAGGGAGCAGCAGGGTTGGGAGACTCTGTGCGTTTAGCCTAAAGGGACGGCGCTCACTGAAGGGGCTAAGCGCCGGCAGTGGGTTTCAATTATTGAGTCAAGCTAAGTTTCCTGGCTGGAAGATCCGTTTCCCCACGGGCGTGCGTGTAGAAGAACAGAGCAGGTACTGAGAGACAAGCTGCGCTCCTTCCTCCGCACATTTCGGGGAGAGCACATTTGCAAACAGAGCACGTCCTCTGTTCTTATTAATAATGTAAACAGTGATTATTTATTTAGTGCCTACTATGTCAAAGGCACTCTGCTAGGTGTTTATATGAATAATTCCTAGTCCTCCCAGCGGCTCTACAAAGCAGGTGCTTCCAACCGTATTTTGCAGATGAGAAAACACAGGCTTTGAGAGCTTTAAGTCTTCTGTCCCAGCAGTATAGCAGGGAAGTTGTTGAGCCTGGATGGGGCCCTTATTTCCAAATGCATGAACTTGATGCGGGCATGTGAGCTACATTCCTTCAGGTGTGTCTGACTCTTTGTGACCCCAGGGACACTAGGTTGCCAGGCTCCTCTGTCCACGGGAGTCTCCAGGCAAGAACACTGGAGTGGGGCGCCATGCCCTCCTCCAGGGGATCTTCCCAATGCAGGGATCGAACCCGAGTCTCTTATGTCTCCTGCACTGGCATATGGTTTCTTTACCACTGAGCCCCCAGGAAGCCCAGTGAACTTGGCACATGCTTCTAAAAAAATTCAAACACCACAGAAAGGAATAAAGTGACAAGTAAAAGGTCCTTCTCACCCCACTTTCCAGAAGTAACCTAAATTATTCTAAAACGTCCTAAAATGTTTTTTGTATGTTGGGCTTCCCTGGTGGTTCAGCTGGTGAAGAATCCGCCTGCAATGCAGGAGACCTGGGTTTGATCCCTGGGTGGGGAAGATCCCCTGGAGAAGGGAATGGCTATCCATCTGCGTGTAGCTGGTCAAATTTACAAATAAGTAATTATGTCAAACATTTTAAAAAAAGAACCTTTCATGTAAATACCCAGCTTTATCAAATTTTTAAGTTATAGCACATCGCCTTACTTTTTAGAGATAAAACTTAACACACAGATTTGAGGTCACCCATGTACCCTAATCTCAGTCTGCTCCCTTCCCAGAGGTTGAGTTAACTTGGAGTTAGTATTTATCATTTCCATGTGTATTTAAAAGATATTATTGCCACATGATAGATGGTAACCAAACAATATCATGTGGCAAAAATACATTTTTCCACTAAATCATGTATGGATGTGAGAGCTGGACCATAAGGAAAGCTGAGCACCGAAGAATGGATGCTTTTGAACTGTGGTGTTGGAGAAGACTCTTGAGAGTCCCGTGGACTGCACGGAGATCCAGCCAGTCCATACTAAAGATTAGTCCTGAACACTCATTGGAAGGACTGATGCTGAAGCTGAAGCTCCAGTGCTTTGGCCACCTGATGCGAAGCACTGACTCACTGAAAAAGACCCCGATGCTGGGAAAGACTGAAGGCAGGAGGAGAAGGGGGATGACAGAGGATGAGATGTTTGGTGGTATTCCTGACTCAACGGACATGAGTTTGAGCAAGCTCCGGGAACTGGTGATGGACAGGGAAGGCTGGCATGCCGCAGTCCATGGGGTCACAAAGAGTCGGATACGACTGAGTGACTAAACAACAATAATGTGTTAATACATACACCACATACTGTATAACACAGCACACCTCAGTAGTTTGAACTGCTTTGATATCTAGTCTGACAACAGCAGGACGACAAAGCCAAATGCCCAGCAGGTGAGTGGGCATAGCCGCCTGGGAGGACGACTCAGCCACAGCTGTGAAACCTGATGGCGCCTGACCCACAGCCGAGGGTCCCACCACTGCGCCTGTCTCAGAGCGGGCCCTGTGCATGGACAAACGGAGGCATGGAGACTGCTCTTAACTGCCACTGCATCTGAGCAACAGCTTCTGGGTGAGTTGTGATCAGGGGAGGGACCCCGCAAATGCAGTCTGCCCACCCAGTGGGAGACCGCAGCGTGCAGGAGACACATGGGCAAGTGTGGAAAATGCCGTAAGCCCCTACATACGAAAGAGTTACACTCCGAGATCACGTCCGTAAGTCCAGTTTGTTTGTAAGCCCAACAAAGGTAGCCGACACAATGGGCTACATAATACCGTGCTGCAATAGGCTTATAATTCTTTCCACACAAATAATACATAAAACACACACAAAAAAATAAAGAAAATATGTTTAATCTCACAGGACAGTATCTTGAAAAGCACAGTAGTCCAGCACAACAGCTGGCACACAGGGGCTGGCATCCGTGAACAGGCAAGAATGACTGGAGGAGGAGGGGAGGTGGGAGGTGGTGGAGCCGAAGGATGGTCAGCGATGGGAGACGGAGGGCCAGCTGCAGGGTCACTCCTGCCTGGCGCTGATGGAACACACATGTGCATCTTTGAAAGCTTGCATCTTGGAGGTTCGTATGTAGGGGATTTACTGTACCATGTTACATGAAAACATCAAGCTGCAGAATGGTAGATGCTGCAGTACCATGACGATGGAAATGATTTCCACAAGTGGTAAACCTTCATTTTAAGCAGATGTATAGTATTCTGTTATGTGGACACATCATATGTCTTTGGTCCACTCCCTACTGATGGATATTCACACTGTTTCCTTCTGGTTTTTGTTGTTGCTGTTGCTAAAAACACTGTCACAGAAATCCTCTAACACATATCTTCACACCTAGGTAAGGCTGTGCTGGTTAAGCTCATTAATGGCATTGCAATTGTTGTGTTAAAAAGGCTGTACAGTCAGTTTTCACTAAATAGGTTCGTGGTTTCAAACACAGCCCCCCCAAATCTCGGTGCTTTAACACAACAGGAGCTCAACCCTTGAGGCTGTGACATCCTGGGGAACTGGTCAGCTGCGGCTGTGCCGGTCCTCCTCCGGGATCCAGGCTGAGAGGGCAGCCTTCATCTGGAAGGTTTGCACCCATGGCTGCGGGAAAT